AACATACTGTTGGTAGTCTCTAAGGCGACACATTATTTCACAACATACTGTTGGTAGTCTCTAAGGCGACACATTATTTCACAACATACTGTTGGTAGTCTCTAATGCGACACATTATTTCACAACATACTGTTGGTAGTCTCTACGACACATTATTTCACAAACATACTGTTGGTCTCTAAGGCGACACATTATTTCACAATTTTACTGTCTAGTCTAATGCGACACATTATTTCAGAACATACTGTTGGTAGTCTCTAATGCGACACATTATTCCACAACATACTGTTGGTAGTCTCTAATGCGACACATTATTTCAGAACATACTGTTGGTAGTCTCTAAGGCGACACATTATTCCACAACATACTGTTGGTAGTCTCTAAGGCGACACATTATTTCACAACATACTGTTGGTAGTCTCTAAGGCGACACATTATTTCACAACATACTGTTGGTAGTCTCTAAGGCGACACATTATTTCACAACATACTGTTGGTAGTCTCTAAGGCGACACATTATTTCACAACATACTGTTGGTAGTCTCTAAGGCGACACATTATTTCACAATATACTGTTGGTAGTCTCTAAGGCGACACATTATTTCACAATTTACTGTTGGTAGTCTCTAAGGCGACACATTATTTCACAACATACTGTTGGTAGTCTCTAAGGCGACACATTATTCCACAACATACTGTTGGTAGTCTCTAAGGCGACACATTATTTCACAACATACTGTTGGTAGTCTCTAATGCGACACATTATTTCACAACATACTGTTGGTAGTCTCTAATGCGACACATTATTTCACAACATACTGTTGGTAGTCTCTAATGCGACACATTATTTCACAACATACTGTTGGTAGTCTCTAAGGCGACACATTATTTCACAACATACTGTTGGTAGTCTCTAATGCGACACATTATTCCACAACATTCTGTTGGTAGTCTCTAATGCGACACATTATTCCACAACATTCTGTTGGTAGTCTCTAAGGCGACACATTATTTCACAACATACTGTTGGTAGTCTCTAATGCGACACATTATTCCACAACATTCTGTTGTTAGTCTCTAAGGCGACACATTATTTCACAACATACTGTTGGTAGTCTCTAAGGCGACACATTATTTCACAACATACTGTTGGTAGTCTCTAATGCGACACATTATTTCACAACATACTGTTGGTAGTCTCTAATGCGACACATTATTTCACAACATACTGTTGGTAGTCTCTAATGCGACACATTATTTCACAACATACTGTTGGTAGTCTCTAATGCGACACATTATTTCACAACATACTGTTGGTAGTCTCTAAGGCGACACATTATTTCACAACATACTGTTGGTAGTCTCTAATGCGACACATTATTTCAGAACATACTGTTGGTAGTCTCTAATGCGACACATTATTTCACAATTTACTGTTGGTAGTCTCAAATGCGACACATTATTCCACAACATACTGTTGGTAGTCTCTAATGCGACACATTATTCCACAATATACTGTTGGTAGTCTCTAAGGCGACACACTATTTCACAACATACTGTTGGTTGTCTCTAAGGCGACACATTATTTCACAACATACTGTTGGTAGTCTCTAAAGCGACACATTATTTCACAATATACTGTTGGTAGTCTCTAAGGCGACACATTATTTCACAATATACTGTTGGTAGTCTCTAAGGCTACACATTATTCCACAACATACTGTTGGTAGTCTCTATTTGAAAAGCGATATTCAGGTTTAGATGAGGGAAGAAGGAGTGTAAACGAAGACTGCACGGGCACAATGCATCCTAAATAGGACACTGTTTAGGGTTCATCTGTTTTAAAAGAAAATATTTACCACACACATGGCAACAAAGTCACGCTGGGGAAGTCCTCCGCTAAAGGGACTCAAGACTTGAACCAGGAGAGGCTAGTGTGTGGGCACATGATTGTCATTTGTGAACTAGGAAAGTTAAACACACAGTGCCATACGTGGGAAGGCATAGGGTTGTCTTCGCCAGTTTGAAACCTTATCGAGAATGTAAATGGTAAATGTAAAATAGAGTCGGCTCTGAGGCTAAGTCGATGCGAACCCTTCGTAATGCCGGGATGCCAGGTTCGATCTCAGCTGCGGGCCAAGCGCCTTGCATTTGTTTCGACAGTGGTATCAAGGAAGCCGACCGTCCAGTGGCAACGGCAAACTACTGGGCGTAAATTTGCCTAGAGAAACCACACACAGCCATCTCCGGATAGCAGCTGCGTAGGGGGGGGGGGGGGGTGAGTAAAAGAAATATAAAAAATTGGCGATATTTGTGGCATGATCCACTTTACAAAACCGGGGAGAAAGCTGAATCCACATTTGTTAACAATCTTTACGTTAGCGGTATTCGAACAGTCACCGATGTGACTCCCAGACATGGCGCCCAAGTCGAGGGGGTTATGAAAGAGTTAGTGCAAAGTTTAGTCACGGACAGGTTGACCCAGCCCAGCAAGACAGGCACATTAGAGCGGACAGGGCCTAGAAATTGCGGACTCTGCTGTGTGTACCGGAGAACATCTGATGTATGACTTTGGGCAGTAACAACTTGTCAGTTACAGTCGTTCGTGGGTTGGCTGCATTTAACCCAACATAACGCAAAATGAAAACAATTACTAGGAGGAGTAGGAAGAGAAGAAGATGAGGATAAGAAAAGGGATAATGATAATGACAAGCAGAAATAGAAGAAGAAGAAGAAGAAGAAGAAGAAGAAGAAGAAGAAGAAGAAGAAGAAGAAGAAGAAGAAGAAGAAGAAGAAGAAGAAGAAGAAGAAGAAGAAGAAGAAGAACAACAACAACAACAACAACAACAACAACAACAACAACAACAACAACAATGAAAACCACGTAACGACAGCAACAGCAACATTAGCAACAACAACAAAACAATGACAACAGCAACTAACTACTTGTCTTATCCAAATCTCACTAGGCTGTTTATTGACTGCAACAATGCTACTTCCGTCTCAGATCTTGGTATACCTTATGCTGGTCACGTGGACACTGGGAGGTAATTTTTCTGTCTGTGTTTAACATAGTCAACACATTACTGTATGTGTGTGTGTGTGGGGGGGGGGGGGGTAAACCCTATTTGTTGAAATATAAGATACACGTTTTGTTGTCAAAACAGGCCTTAAAATAAGCCTATCTTCCTATACAGCGAAGGTAGACCTACGTGCACCGTTATTGCTTATACTGGCCGCCGAGATAGGGAAAAAACCAAAGCAAGCGACATCCTCGCACAGCGAAATTTACCGGTACAATAGTAGACAAACAACCAGAACTAAGGATTATTGTTTCTGTATGTCACTCGATTGTTTTCTGTGTCAGTCCTTCGATTGTTGTCTGTGTCAGTCCTTCGATTGTTGTTTTTGTATGTCACTCGATTGTTGTCTGTGTCAGTCCTTCGATTGCTGTTTTTGTATGTCACTCGATTGTTGTCTGTGTCAGTCCTTCGATTGTTGTTTTTGTATGTCACTCGATTGTTGTCTGTGTCAGTCCTTCGATTGTTGTCTGTGTCAGTCCTTCGATTGTTGTTTTTGTATGTCACTCGATTGTTGTCTGTGTCAGTCCTTCGATTGTTGTTTTTGTATGTCACTCGATTGTTTGTCCGTGTCAGTCCTTCGATTGTTGTCTGTGTCAGTCCTTCGATTGCTGTTTTTGTATGTCACTCGATTGTTGTCTGTGTCAGTATTTCGATTGCTGTTTTTGTATGTCACTTGATTGTTGTAACTTGACTGTAGTTTTTGTATGTAACGCTATTGTTGTTTTTTGCATATTATTCAATTGTTGCTTGTGTATCTAACTCAGTTGTTCGTTGGGTGTGTAATTTGATTGTTGTTTGTGTATGCGATTCAATTGTCGTTTGTGTACGTAATTCGATTTTTTTTTTTTTTTTTTTGTATGTAACTTGATGGTTCCGTAATTCCACTGATGTTTGTTTTTGTAATTTTATTGTTCCTTGTGTATGTAACTCGATCGTTGTTATTTCGTATTTAGCAGTTTCTTGTGATTGTATATAACTAACCTACTATCATAGTTGTTTTTTTTTTTTTTTTAGTTTGTTATTTGAATTGTGTTAAATACATGTAAGTATAAAACCTTTCTTTTAGTTAGTTTTGTTTTTGCATGAAACAAATCCTTTGTCTGTGTGGTTGCTTTTGTCTGTGTGTGTGTGTGTGTGTGTGTGTGTGTGTGTGTGTATTTTTCTGTTCTATGTGTAATTTTTTTTTGATGTGACAAGTTTGTTGAATGTTGTGTTGTTGTTGTTTGTTTTTTTTTTTTTTTTTCATATTATTTCTGCATGTAACAACTATGTGGTCTGTACTAATGTTTTCCATGCAATATATCTTGTCTCTGTTATTTGTGCATGTAACAATTCCATTTTCTATGTTATTTTTGTCCATGTAATATGTCTGTTTTCTTTGTTATTTTCTTTTTATATAGTAAGCCTGTTGTCTCATATTGTTGCTGTATGTAACCAGACGTTGTCTCATATTGTTGCTGTATGTAACCAGACGTTGTCTCATATTGTTGCTGTATGTAACCAGACGTTGTCTCATATTGTTGCTGTATGTAACCAGACGTTGTCTCATATTGTTCCTGTATGTAACCAGACGTTGTCTCATATTGTTGCTGTATGTAACCAGACGTTGTCTCATATTGTTGCTGTATGTAACCAGACGTTGTCTCATATTGTTGCTGTATGTAACCAGACGTTGTCTCATATTGTTGCTGTATGTAACCAGACGTTGTCTCATATTGTTGCTGTATGTAACCAGACGTTGTCTCATATTGTTGCTGTATGTAACCAGACGTTGTCTCATATTGTTGCTGTATGTAACCAGACGTTTGTCTCATATTGTTGCTGTATGTAACCAGACGTTTGTCTCATATTGTTGCTGTATGTAACCAGACGTTGTCTCATATTGTTGCTGTATGTAACCAGACGTTGTCTCATATTGTTGCTGTATGTAACCAGACGTTGTCTCATATTGTTGCTGTATGTAACCAGACGTTGTCTCATATTGTTGCTGTATGTAACCAGACGTTGTCTCATATTGTTGCTGTATGTAACCAGACGTTGTCTCATATTGTTGCTGTATGTAACCAGACGTTGTCTCATATTGTTGCTGTATGTAACCAGACGTTGTCTCATATTGTTGCTGTATGTAACCAGACGTTGTCTCATATTGTTGCTGTATGTAACCAGACGTTGTCTCACCGTTTCTGTATGAACCAGTGTCTAACAAGCCACATGTTCACATATTTCTACAGCGGAAATAGGAAACTTTGCATATACAGATTACATGGGAGATGCAGACTTCGACCAGGACGTCAATGAAATGCCAGAACTTCGCCGAGTGGTAATATACATATTTTATTGTGCATCATTATTAATATTATCATATTTACTATTATAGGTAATAGGTTCATCATAACCAGTAACAATATTACGCCTAGTTCATTCCGTGGTTCATGTTCATATCGTCGATCGTGGTTTTAATCAAGTCATAAATATTATCATCACTATAATTATCTACCAAAAAAAATTGTCATTATTGTTTCTTTAGATACTCATTTTTTTTTTTTTTTCTAGTTTCCGGTTAATTTTTCCTTCGTCGTCACCTTTATGTTGGCTCCTTTCTTCCTCCAACATCTCCTTCTTGCACTGTGTTAAGTGTCACCTACTCTTTCAACATCTCCTTCTTGCTCTGTGTTAAGTGTCACCTCCTCTTTCAACATCTCCTCCTTGCTCATTGTTAAGTGTCACCTCCTATTTCAACATCTCCTTCTTGCTCTGTGTTAAGTGTCACCTCCTACTTAAATATCTCTTTCTGGCTCTTTCTTATGTGTTACCTCCTTCACCATTTCTTTCTGGCTCTGTGTTATGTGTCACATCCTCCAACATCACTTTCTGGCTGGGCAATATGTGACACCTCTTCCAACATCTCCTTCTGGCTCTGTGTTATGTGGCACCTCCTTCAACATCTCTTTCTGGCTCAGTGTTATGTGTCACCTCCGCCTCCAACATCTCCTTCTGGCTCTGTGTTATGTGTCACCTCATCCTGCAACATCTCCTTCTTGCTCTGTGTTATGTGTCACCTCCTCCAACATCTCCTTCTAGCTCTGTGATATGTGTCACCTCCTCCAACATCTCCTTCTTGCTCTGTGTTATGTGTCACCTCCTCCTCCAACATCTCCTTCAAGCTCTGTGTTATGTGTCACCTCCTCCAACATCTCCTTCTGGCTCTGTGTTATGTGTCACCTCCTCCATCTCCTTCTTGCTCTGTGTTATGTGTCACCTCCATCAACATCTCCTTCTTGCTCTGTGTTATGTGTCACCTCCTCCATCTCCTTCTTGCTCTGTGTTATGTGTCACCTCCTCCAACATCTCCTTCTTGCTCTGTGTTATGTGTCACCTCCTCCATCTCCTTCTTGCTCTGTGTTATGTGTCACCTCCTCCAACATCTCCTTCTTGCTCTGTGTTATGTGTCACCTCCTCCATCTCCTTCTTGCTCTGTGTTATGTGTCACCTCCATCAACATCTCCTTCTTGCTCTGTTTTATGTGTCACCTCCTCCTCCTCCAACATCTCCTTCTTGCTCTGTGTTATGTGTCACCTCCTCCAACATCTCCTTCTTTCTCTATGTTATGTGTCATCTCCTCCAACATCTCCTTTTTGCTCTGTGTTATGTGTCACCTCCTCCAACATCTCCTTCTTGCTCTGTGTTATGTGTCACCTCCATCAACATCTCCTTCTTGCTCTGTTTTATGTGTCACCTCCTCCTCCTCCAACATCTCCATCTGGCTCTGTGTTATGTGTCACCTCCTCCAACATCTCCTTCTTTCTCTATGTTATGTGTCATCTCCTCCAACATCTCCTTTTTGCTCTGTGTTATGTGTCACCTTCTCCAACATCTCCATCTGGCTCTGTGTTATGTGTCACCTCCATCAACATCTCCTTCTTGCTCTGTGTTATGTGTCACCTCCTCCTCCTCCAACATCTCCTTCTTGCTCTGTGTTATGTGTCACCTCCTCCAACATCTCCTTCTTGCTCTGTGTTATGTGTCATCTCCTCCAACATCTCCTTCTTGCTCTGTGTTATGTGTCATCTCCTCCAACATCTCCTTCTTGCTCTGTGTTATGTGTCACCTCCTCCAACATCTCCTTCTTGCTCTGTGTTATGTGTCATCTCCTCCAACATCTCCTTCTTGCTCTGTGTTATCTGTCACCTCCTCCAACATCTCCTTTTTGCTCTGTGTTATGTGTCACCTCCTCCAACATCTCCTTCTTGCTCTGTGTTATGTGTCACCTCCTCCAACATCTCCTTCTTGCTCTGTGTTATGTGTCACCTCCTCCAACATCTCCTTCTTGCTCTGTGTTATGTGTCACCTCCTCCAACATCTCCTTCTTGCTCTATGATATGTGTCGCCTCCTCCTCCAACATCTCCTTCTGGCTCTGTGTTATGTGTCACCTCCTCCAACATCTCCTTCTGGCTCTGTGTTATGTGTTATGCTACAATGCGACAACCATGACTGTTACTCTACGCCCACTGCTACAATGCGAGAACCATGACTGTTACTCTACACCCACTGCTACAATGCGAGAACCATGACTGTTACTCTACACCCACTGCTACATTGCGAGAAACCATGACTGTTACTCTAAACTCACTGCTACAATGCGACAACCATGACTGTTACTCTACACCCACTGCTACAATGCGACAACCATGACTGTTACTCTACACCCACTGCTACAATGCGACAACCATGACTGTTACTCTACACCCACTGCTACACTGCGAGAACAGCAAGTGAAAATGGGTTTATGGCCAAACAAGCACACAGTGCAGGAAACGAAGAGGAAAATCAAACCAAGAAACCATACAGAACTGGTATCGTCAGCCGCTATACTGTGTGACATTTACTGAGAAGGGGATCGGTACACTTACGGATTGATTAGTCCGATCTGCAATGTGGAAGAGCTGTTGACTAACTATGGGCAGTCAGTTTACAGTGGGTTTTTTTTTATTTTTTTAAAGCCGGCAATATCTATTTCTCTACACCTTTGTTGTTGTGTTGACACCAATCTCTCAAGTTTTTGTTTAAATGTTTATGAATGGATGTTTTCTGCAGGTTAGGGCGGCCAGACATTGTTGCCTTCCATGGAGAGCGCCCTGCACGTTAGATGAAAGTTTGGTCAGAAAGTACAGTTTTCTGCAGTGCTGCAATAATGGAGCTTGCAGGTAATAACAACAAAACATTTCAAACAGATTGCATGTCACTAGTCCACTTGTCTTCTTGAGTCCTGTCTGGCTCTGTGTCAGATTGTCTGAGCTGCAGTTTCCATGTTGGTAAATATTTTTGTCGCAGTCTAGCAAAGTGCACAAACCGCATGACCATTTCTTTCTCATTGATTCCTCCACCCTCACCCAGTGTGCTTGCGATCATTTACATATGTGAGTTTTTACAAATATCCGTAACTGATTACCTTTGTTCAACTGTGTAAAACTCTATTTTACTTTCCAGGTGCAATTTTCTGGGCAGTAACTGCAGATGTGAGGCCAGGCTTGGTTAGACTACCCGATATGTATGTTCCAGTGTTCAGCCCAATGACGTCAGCAACAATGGAAATGAAGCCGAAGATATTGTTGCCAAGTGGATCTGCTGCCCACCTTAATCTATGCAAATGAACTACAGACAAGGAATAACTGGATATGACCAAACTGGAAGTCACAGTGATCTGATTTCTCGCTAGAATGCTAGGAATCACGGGAACGGCTAAGCGCACTAATCTATATAGTCTCTTTCTGCCCTCTGTGTATGGTCAGAAATCTCTATTTCTTTTACACTAAATGCTAACAGGAACGAATTTTATAGTTATGCTATAAAAATGTGTTCTAAATTGTTGTCTTTTTCAAACCAGCATCGTTTTCTGACCTCTGATTCACTGGAATGTGCTTTTCTCCCGTCAGAAATTCCACGGTGATGTCTGTGTCCTACCAGTCTAGTTCTACTCTTTGCAGGCACGAGTTATGTTGATACTTGATAAGTAATTGTTGAAGTCGCTCATCGTGCTTCCTGATAAAGCTACTGTCCTAATGTAACGTTAGAATTAAATATTCTTACTGTGGTTTTGTGAGGATTTCGTTTCATTTAATGATTTCCTAATTTCGATGAAACATTTTTTGCCGTGTGCACGCGTGTTGTAGTAGCAATAGATGTGGCTCCTTTCAGTTTGCATCACTATGTATATATAGCCGCTGTCGTAATGCAGTGGCTAGGCCCGAGGGCCTTGGGTTCAAATCCGAAGAGAGGCAGATGTGTATAATTAACCTACAACTCACATTCGACCCAACTTAAAATGGACGCTAGCATAAATCATAGGAAGTAAAGACAGCCAATGAGCGGCTGACCATCGGTGTGTAGATCTATGGGTCTATCCCTCTGTGTCACAAACGTCTGACAGAGTCCTTCAGGCTGCTACATCAATGGGTCTAAGGATCCATCTGTGGTAGCCATGTGTTCAAAGGAAGATGTGCTTGTCCAAAACTAGTTCCGTTGACAAAGATATTTGATTGTCACGTCACAGCAGGGCAGTCGACATCCCGTGGCCACTTTTGGTGACTAGAATTTCGAGCAAGACAATTGGAAGGCAAAAAAGATAAGAGGGCGACAGGGTGATACAACAGTGGATTGGCAGAACTGAGAGATATACCCGTGGTTGCTGCACAAAGTGATCGTTATTTGACGGTTGTTTTTCGACACACGAAGCGAACGTTTCGTAATGCCGGGGTACCGGGTTCGATCCCAGCTGCGGGCCATACGCCTCGCGTTGGATTTGACAGTGGTATCAGGGAGCCGACCGTCTAGGGGCAATGGCAAACTACTGGACGTAAATTTGCCGAGTGAAACCACACAACAGCCAGAGGCTTATGGGGTTGGTTCTGCAACGTCCGTAAAGGATACGCTACTAACCTTAATTCAACAGAAACACAAACGTGAGCTCTAGTTTCTTGTCACATTTGATTCTCCCTCTACTGGCCAGTGGCATATCAAACTAGCCGTATCTGTTTGTGACTGTTGATCTAGTCAACAGCACGCCAACTTTTTACCTAATCTAAGTTTCAAGCCCCAAGGTCGAGGACCAATGTCTACAAAAACATGAGCACCATATGCCCATACGTCAATGGTCTGAAAAGAGTCATTACTTTGACTGTGAATGTCTCAGTGATAATTATGACGTATAGCCAGCTTTCATCACGTGTGTCATTTTGTTAGTTAAATTACTTCAGCGTCATCTCATTCTGTTTTATATGCTGTGTTTTGTCTCACCTTATTGTTAGTCAATAAGGGCGTGTGGTCGTTTGTTTTTGTTTCTTCAATTGTATTGCACTGTATGCTCTGTAAAGCTGGCGTATGCTTTGATTTTTTGTTTTTAACAGATTTTAGAGAATAATTTTGATAAAGGATAAGATAGGTAATGTCGAAGGTACGTCTGTAAGCAGGCGGACCCTTGGGAGATGTCCAAACTATAGGCAGGCCCAGCCACGCTGGACTACAGTGCCAGGTATAACTGTAGAATGGGGCTACAAGGCTAGTCATGGTTTCCGGGATTTTGTAGCTGTTTGATTCTCGTCCTTGGGATGTTAATTCTACAGACTGCAGAGAAAATAGAAACGGCTTTAAGCAGATGTAGCCAGTATAGATTGACATAGATGGTATATGCTGTCTGCGCCATCTGGTTGGATACAAATATAATGCATCCACTGAATGGACATGTAGCTCTAATTATAGCCTTAGTTTACTTCCCTTTAGTTTGTGCAGTTGTCTCTTTATATGCTGTATCGTTCTATAAATATTACATCATGTTGTATCAATACATCTTGATCACTACATCTTGTATCATTACATCTGTTATCATTCCATCTTGTATTATTACACATTGTATAATCATATTCATTATCATTACATGCTGTATCATTGAACACAAGTATCTGTCTTCCGTTTTTTTATCGCTTTTACAATTCCATTTTTTACCAAGGGGACATTGCCTAAACAAAACAACACAGTGGTAATAGAATATATATTTTACCCTCTGCTACGTGGGGAAAGGCTATTGACTACACAAAATGCCCCTGTGACATCTGTTCAAAGGAAGAAAGAACTTTCATAGTGTGTGTGTTGTCAATAGTACACCTAAATGGTGGATGTTGATTTCATTCTTAACGAACTTTTTTAACACACAAACAACACTATCACTTCTTGTAAGCTAATACATACACAGTAGGAGGCCTGAAATACCGCGGTGCATGTACATAGACGTCGAGGTAGGTGGCTCGGTCTGGTAAAAGTCATTTTAACGACTACTCTTTATCGATAATACCACCACAACGCTGATTTCCACAAAAACAGCAGCACTGCCTATAGCACTATTCGCAAGTTACGACAGCCTCTGTAGTCACTGTGGCCAGACCTAGACAATCTACAAGAAGTTATAACTCACACAAAGAAAGTGAGCAGGTGGAGCAACAAAAGTAACACTTCCAACTTTGGCGTGGGGATACACGACAGAGACAAGGTCGTCGACGAAAAAACAAACGGTAAACACAGAGACTAAGAATAAACAGCCCAATAAACCTGACACCATTTTTGAGCAGATTAAGACACAAAGACCAGAAGTGATTAGTTCGGAGAGGGATGATTCGTCAGGTACTACCAAGAAGCAGAGCACCGAAACAGCTGTAATCATGAGGCATTCCAGCGGGCCAGAGGCACAGACAGACGCAGAAGACATTACGAAAAGTCAAAGGAACGATGATCACACATTCCCGACCACAATCATGGTTCGATAGATCAGCGTCGAACAAGAAGCATTGACTACCCTGAAAATAATGACAATCTTTACTGGAGGACCTGTCGAGGAAGCGATCCATCGTGAAGCTGAAGAAAGTCAGAAACGTGCAATATGGTAAAGGAGATCCAGAAGACATCAAAGAAATAGCTACAGCTACCGAATGAGATGGTGGTGGCTACCTTGTACCACACTATACGGAGGTGAGTTGTCATGCGAATTCAGTGACAAGTAACTGATAAGGAAATACACAACCAAATACAGAAAGAAAACCCAAAATTACTCATATCAAGGTGGAGCTACTGGGATCCCTACAAACAATCCTACGACAGTGGCTGTGGTGACAATCGAAGGTAGCCATATCTCGAACAAAGTTATGTTCGACAAGAAACCACAAAGACCAGAGGAGTATGTCCAACCAAATATTGCAATGTTCGCGCTGCCAGAAGGCCTGGCATCCCAAAACAACTTGTCTAAGAAAACATGAGACATGCAGATTTTGTTTAGAGCCTCATGCCTCATGTCTGAAGGCCAAGATAGACAGCGACCTCCGAAAGTTCAACACAAATAGGAAATGCGCAAACTGCTCTGGACCACATGGAGCCAGATACCCTGAATGCTCATGTCTACAACAGTGCAGAGAGATAATGAAATTAGCAATCAAAGAGAGCTGACCATATAAAGAAGGCCAAAAAAGATACGAGGTACCCAGGAACGACACCTTGCTGGACAAGTCGAGATTTGAAGATCAGATCGACCAGGTGACAAATGACATGCAGAATCTGCCATATGAAAAACAGCTGCAGATTTACAGCACACACAAATAAGAAGGGAGATGGAGGAGTTGAGAGACTGAAAACTACATCAGAAGTTCACAGATAGGTTGCGACCGAGGCAAAATCAATCGAAGAGTTCAAGGCAGAGATTGCGGCAATGCTCAGAAATATCCAACACAAACGAGAAACAGTTCTAGTAAAAGAACCAGTAGACACAAAGATTGAAAGCTTTCTTAAACCAGACAAGACAACTAAAGACAGACAAACAACAGAAAAATACAACAGACCCAAAACCAAGGCCGGGTGAGAGGGGCAAAGCAACGGTTACCAAGAAAACTATGAAAGAAACTGGTGACGTGATCAAGACAGACTCTGGATAAGTAGCACAAGAACAACGTCGACTGGCGGCCTACAGGTTCTACCAAGCAGCAATAATCCAAAGGAAGTATAGAAGAATCCACCAGGAACAGAGGAAGTTGATGATCCAGTTTCGTCTTTTTTAGGACGAAATTTTTTGTTATTTGAAGCCCCACCCTGGCTTTTGCAAGGGGCCGCAATATAGGCAGGCCATAAATATGGCCAAATGTCTGAACGCGGTTTCTGGGACCTCTCCACAGCGA